GGATGAGATGGGCCTGGGGTGGGATGGGATGGGATGGGTCTGGGGTGGGATGGGAAGGGGTGGAATTGGGGTGGGATGGGATGGGATGGGATGGGCCTGGGGTCTCCCCGGCCCCGGTCCCGCCCCGATCCGGCCCCGTTCCCGTTCCCGCAGCAACATCGCGGAGGCGCTGGTCAGCAAGGGCCTGGCCACGGTGCTGCGCTACCGGCAGGACGACGACCAGCGCTCGGCGCACTACGACGAGCTGCTGGCGGCCGAGGCCCGGTGAGCGCGGGGCCGGGGGCTGTGCCCGCTGCCCTGTGCTCTCCCTGTCACATCCTGTGTCCCCTGTCCCCCGCCCCGTCCCCGCGGCTCGGGGCGATTCCCGCGCAGCGCTGCCCGTGTCCCTCTGTCCGTCCCGGCCGTGTCCCCTGGGGTGTCAGGTGCGCCAGACCCAGGTGTGCTCAGCCCCACGCAGAGGATCCCGTGGGGATCCCGTGTCCCGGTGACCCCTGTGCCCACAGGGATTGCTGTTCCCACCCCTGGGAGCTCTCCCCGTGTCCCCGTCCCTCATCCCATGCTCCTGCTGGCCCTGGAATGGCGATGGACCCCCTTCCCTGCCCGGCCCCGCTCCCTCCGGAGGCGGCTCGGTGGCGGCTGAGCCCGGCGGGAATGGCGGGATCTCAGCTCCTCCCTGGCAGCAGATCCCGGCACGATGCCGAGAGCCGGGAGAGCAGCTTGGAGGGGGCTGCGGCGCCTTCCCGGGCGCGCTGGCTGCTGCGGGAAAAGGCGGATCAATCCGGAGAAAGCTGCTCCCCTTCCACCCAGCCGTGCCCGGGCGGTGGGCGGCCGGCAGATTGCTCGGAGGCTCCTTCCCAACGCCTGGAATGTGCCTTTTGGGAAGCCTGGCAGGAAGTCAGCAGCTCAGAGCTGCGGAGGGGGCACCGGGATACCGGGATGCAGGGATGGGATCTGGCACCTGGAGCTGGATACGGGGCTGGGATGTGACACCTGGGGCTGGATACGGGGCTGGGATCTGGCACCTGGAGCTGGATACGGGGCTGGGATCTGGCACCTGGAACTGGATACGGGGCTGGGATGTGACACCTGGAGCCAGAGCCACCCTCCAGGGTTGGGGTTCAGTCTGAACATCCCCAGGTGGAGGAGCTGGATGTTCCCACCCGATCCCAGAGGTGGCTCATCCGTGCCATTGGGAGCTTTGGCACATCCCAAATCTGGGATCGTGCTGGCAGCAGGCAGAGGAGCTGGCAGCTCTGGGACAATGCCAGGAGCAGCAGGAATGGGATGCTCTGGGATTCGGGATGAGGTTGTGGTGCAGGGCCTGGAGCAGTCTGGGGGATCCATTCAGCATTCCCAGCTCTTCAGAGAGCCTGGAATCACATCCCACACCATTGGCTCTGCCAGAATCCCGGCACACTTTCCCAACCCTCCAGGCCCTGGAGCAGGAGGGGTCACTCCAGGTGGGGACAGGGAGCTTGGTGGCCTCATCCTGAGGGAGCATCCTTTGGGAACACCCCAGGGGAACGTCCCAGCCGAGACCAGGATCTGGGTTTGGGTCTGGCAGCAGCTCCAGCCTCCCGCTGCTTTTCCCTGCGTTCGCTGCCCTCCGTGTGCGGCATTCCCCATCCCGGCTCCTGGGAAGCGCTCCCTCCAGGGCTGGGATGCTCCGTCTGGGCGTCCCCCGGGCCTGGTGCTGCGGCAGGAGCTGATTCCCGGCGCTCCCTCCGCTCTCCAGGGCCATCAAGAACGGGAAAGGGCTGCACAGCAAGAAGGAGGTGCCGATCCACAGGGTGGCCGACATCTCCGGGGTGAGGATCCCCTCGGGCCGCGGGATGGGCGGGAATTCCGCAGGGAAACCCTCACCCGTTGTTCTGGGAGCTGCTGTGGGGGGTTTTCCCCTTTTTCCCTTGGATAAATAAACCGGGAGCTGCCCCCTAGCCTGGAAACCAGCTGGCAGGAGCCAACACTGGAATGCCAGTGGGAATCCGGGACTGCCCGGCTCTGCTGAGGGAATCTGGGGATCCCCACACCTCCCAGCGGAGCTCGTTAGGTTGTCCTCAATTAATTGACATTTTCAAGGATTTTTTTTTTGAGCCCTTCGGTGTTGGGGTGGGGAGGGGTGGATCCCGGGAAAGGGGAGTGATGGGATGCTCCATTAGGGATGGGGAAATGGGGCTGGATCTGTCCTGCTGATCCAGGCAGCTGCCCTGTGGGGAGGGGAAGGATGGGCTTTGGGGTGGATTCGGGATGGATTTGGGGTTTTGGGATGGATTTTGGACGGATTTGGGAATGGTTTAGGGATGAATTTTGGATGTATTTTGGCAGGATTGGGGATGCGTTTTGGGATATATTTAGGATTTATTTTGGGATCTATTTGGGATTTTTGGATGTGTTTTGAGATGTATTTGGGATGTGTTGTGGGATATTTTTGGGATTTTGGGATGGGTTTGGGATTTTTGGATGCATTTTGAGATATGTTTGGGATGTGTTTTGGGATATTTTTGGGATGCATTTGGGATGCATTTTGGGATATATTTGGGATGTGTTAGGGATTTGTTTTGGGATGTATTTGGGATTTTTGGATGTATTTTGATATGTGATTTGGGATGTGATTTAGAGTACTTTTGTGATTTTGGGATGGATTTGGGATATATTTGGGATATATTAGGGATTTGTTTTGGGATGTATTTGGGATTTTTGGATGTATTTTGATATGTGATTTGGGATGTGATTTAGAGTACTTTTGTGATTTTGGGATGGATTTGGGATATATTTGGGATGTGTTTTGGGATGTATTAGGGATTTGTTTTGGGATATATTAGGGGTTTTTGGATGTATTTTGAGATGTGATTTTGGATATGTTTTGGGATGTATTAGGGATTTGTTTTGGGATGTATTAGGGATTTTTGGGTGTATTTTGAGATGTGATTTTGGATATGTTTTGGGATGTATTAGGGGTTTTTGGATGTATTTTGAGATGTGATTTGGGATATGTTTTGGGATGTATTAGGGATTTTTGGGTGTATTTTGAGATGTGATTTGGGATATGTTTGGGATTTTGGGATAGATTTGGGCCGTGTTTGGGGTGCAGGGCCCATCCCGAGCTGGAAGCGCCCAGCTCCGTGCCCAAATGTCGCACCCCAGCCGGCACAGGGGACGAGGAGCTGTCCCGGCAGGTCAGGATTGCAGGGAATTCCCCGAATTCCCGTTTTCCCGCAGGACACGCAGAAGGCGAAGCAGTTCCTGCCGTTCCTGCAGCGCGCCGGCCGCTCCGAGGCCGTGGTGGAATACGTGTTCAGCGGCTCCCGCCTGAAGCTCTTCCTGCCCAAGGAAACGTGCCTGATCACCTTCCTGCTCGCAGGTGAGCCGGGACCGGCGCCACGGGGTCCGTGCTGGGGGATCCCCCGGATCGGTGCTGCGGGGTTCCGGGATCGGCACCGTGGAGTTCCTGGGACTGGCACCTTGGGATCCTGGGATCGGCACCATGGGGTTCCCGGGATCAGCACCGCAGGGTTCCGGGATCAGCACCATGGGATCCCAGGATTGGCGCTGTGGGGTTCCAGGGTTGGCACCATGGGGTTCTGGGATCAGCGCTGCTGGGTTCCAAGATCAGCGCCCTGGGGTTCCTGGGATTGGCACCTTGGGATCCCGGGATCAGCACCGCAGGGTTCCGGGATCAGCACCATGGGATCCCAGGATTGGCACCTCAGGGTTCTGAGATCAGCACTGTGGGGTTCCTGGGATCAGCACCGTGGGATCCCGGGATTGGCACCGCGGGCTTCCAGGATTGGCACCGTGGGGTTCCGGGATCAGCACCATGGGGTTCCAGGATTGGCATCGCAGGGTTCCGGGATCAGCACCATGGGATCCCAGGATTGGCACCACGGGGTTCCGGGATCAGCACTGTGGGGTTTCGGGATCTGTGCTGTGGGATCCCAGGATTGGCACCTCAGGGTTCTGGGATCAGCACCGTGGAATGCCGGGATCGGCACTGCGGGCTTCCAGGATCAACACTGTGGGATCCCAGGATTGGCACCGTGGGGTTCCAGGATTAGCACCATGGGGTTCCAGGATTGGCACCGCAGGGTTCCAGGATCAGCACTGTGGGGTTTCGGGATCTGTGCTGTGGGATCCCGGAATTGGCACCTCAGGGTTCTGGGATCAGCACTGTGGGGTTCTGAGATCAGCCCCATGGAGTTCCTGGGACTGGCACCTTGGGATCCCGGGATCGGCACCATGGGGTTCCCGGGATTGGCATCGCAGGGTTCCGGGATCCGTGCTGTGGGATCCCAGGATCGGTGCTGTGGGGTTCTGGGATTGGCACCTCAGGGTTCCGGGATCGGCACCGCGGGGTTCTGAGATCAGCCCCATGGAGTTCCTGGGATTGGCACCTTGGGATCCCGGGATCGGCGCTGCAGGGTTCTGGGATCAGCACCGTGGAATGCCGGGATCGGCACTGCGGGCTTCCAGGATCAACACTGTGGGATCCCAGGATTGGCACTGTGGGGTTCCAGGATTGGCACCATGGGGTTCCAGGATTGGCATCACGGGGTTTCGGGGTCAGCACTGTGGGGTTTCGGGGTCTGTGCTGTGGGATCCCAGGATCGGTGCTGTGGGGTTCTGGGATTGGCACCTTGGGATCCCGGGATCGGTGCTGCGGGGTTCTGGGGTCAGCACTGCGGGGTTCTGAGATCAGCACTGTGTGGTTCCTGGGATTGGCACCATGGGATCCCGGGATCAGCACTGCGGGGTTCCGGGATCAGCACCATGGGATCCTGGGATCAGCACCGTGGAATGCCGGGATCGGCACCGTGGGCTTCCAGGATCAGCACTGTGGGATCCCGGGATTGGCACCGTGGGGTTCCAGGGTTGGCACCGTGGGGTTCCCAGGATCAGCACTGTGGGGTTCTGAGATCAGCCCCATGGAGTTCCTGGGATTGGCACCTTGGGATCCCGGGATCGGTGCGGCTGGGTTCCGGGATCAGCAGCAGAACATTCCCTGGGCTGGGGCATCCCGGGATGAAGGGTCGGAATTAACGCTGGAGCTGCCTCGGGTCAGGCTGGGAGAGGTGGGGGAGGTTGGGATTGGGAAGGGTGATCCCACCCAAAAAACTCGGGAGCAGGTAGGGAAGCACAAAGTGGGGAGAAGGGAGGAGGGATGGGGATGGGGATGGGGATATAGATAGGGATAGGATGGATTGGGAATGAGGAGCAGGATGGGGAGGAGGATGGGAGTGGGGGTGGGAGTGGTGACAGGATGAGGATCAGAATGAGAGTGGGGGTGAAGATGGGAATGGCATGAGGATGAGGATGAGGATGAAGATGAGGATGGGGAAGAATTCCGTTGGAGTTTCAAGGATCCAGTTCCAGGATCAAACACTGGGAAAGGTGGGGGTGGCTCCCTCACAGGGAATGTTTTTCCTGAGGGGAGCAGGGATGGAGTCGGTGGTTCTTTGTCCATCCCTTTGCTCCCGGAGTTGGGAATGTGTCCTGTCTCTGTCCCCCATGGACACCGGCACCGGGATGGGCCTTTGGGAAGTGGGGGCTCCCTCCCTGCTCCCAGTGGTGCTGGGATCCCTGGTGCTGCAATCCCTGCTCCACAGGAGAGTCCCTGTTCCGTGGGAGCCCTGCTCCATGGGCATCCCTGCTCCATGGTTCTCCTCTTTGGAGGTCCCTGAGCCTCAGGAATTCCTGCTCCATTGGCATTCTTGCTCCACGGTCCTGCTCCACGGGAATTCCTGCTCCGTTGGGAATCCTGCTCCGCCCTGCTCTGTTCTAGAAGGGATGGATCCCCAAGACCATCCCATCCCATAGAATCCCATGGTCCTGGCGGGACCTTCTGGCTTTTATTTTCCCTGTTTTTTGTTGGATTTCTCCCCGGTGCCATTCCCAACCCTCCTCTGCCAAGCCAGGAATAGGATAAATATCCGCCTTTTATCAACGCCTGCCTTTTTTATGGATATCAAATGCAAATGAGCACCAGAAAGAGATGCCAAGTCCCTTAAAATGTGACTCCAGGGATGCTCCCGAGGGAGCTCATCCCGGCTTTCCAGCTAAAATAGATCCGTCAGAGCACTATAAATATGTGCAAATACAGGCGCCGGTTTAATCCCGAATTCCTCTCTCCCGGCAAAACTCCGGAGCCTGACGCCTTCCCAGAGCGGGGGCTAGGAGCAGGAGAATTCCCGAGGGATGAGAGGGCAACTCTGGGGATGTTGGAGTGGCCAAGTGGCTCCAAGGGGTCCAAAATTTTCCCTGGGAGCTGCGGGACTGGGAGGCAGGGATGGGAATCTGGAGTTCTTCCGTGTGAGCATTCCCAGCCTGTGGCTGTCCCAGTGCTGCTCCCGCCAGGATCTGGGGCGGATCCTCGGCGTTCCAGCCCCACTTCCCGGGTGTCCCCTCCCTGTAGCTCACCTCCCCTGCTCCCAAAATCCATAAATCCTGCGGGAGATCGATCCCTGGCGCTCGGCCCCGGCACAGCCGATCCCGGCCCGGAGCCATCCCAGATCCCAGCCCGGCTGTGGCTCTGGCACAGCGAGGGGGCAAAGTGCTCAAATCCCTGGAATCAAGGCTGGAAGGGTCCTTGCTCCAAGGGATTCTCCCTGAAAGATCTGTTCTGTCCCCACTGAGGGCTGGGGAGGAATTCCTCCTGGAATCCTGGTGCAGGATCCTGCAGGAATGCTGTGGGATACTCTGGGATGCTGTGGGATGCCCCGGGATGCCTTGGGATGCTTTAGGATATCCCACGGCTGCTGCGGGGTACCAGGAATGCTCTGGAATGTCCATGGGATGCTGAGGGATACCTCGGGATGCTCAGGATGCCGCAGGGATGCTGCGGAATTCTCACCCCCATCCCTGCAGGGCCCTTTCCGGGATGGGAGCAGCCCCACGGCCGCCCCCTCCATCCCAGCCGGGCCCTGGCTGGGCAGGATTGTGCTGGAATTCTCTGGGAAGCCCAGGGGAGCGGTGGCTGCAGCACTTGCAGCCGCATCCCTCATTAATCCGTCACGGCTTCCCGGGAAGCGCGGCACAGCCGCGGATTCGGGATTAGCTGCTATTTTTAAAGTGCTGGAGAACTTTTCCGGGTGCCAAGCGTCCCCTCCCCGCTCCCGCCAGCATTCCTGGGGGATGAGAGTGCCCAGCCCAGCCTTTGGAGCTTTCCCTTTTCCAGAACCTTCCCTCAGGTGGGCTTGGGAAGCGCCGGAGGCCGGAGAGGATCCGGAGCGGGATCCCAGCCCGGAGCAGCCGGGAGCTGGCGGAGTTTAGGGATTCATTCCGGGATGGGAGCAGCCCCATGGTCGCCCCCTCCATCCCAGGCCGGGCCCTGGCTGGGCAGGATTGTGCTGGAATTCTCTGGGAAGCCCAGGGGAGCGGTGGCTGCAGCACTTGCAGCCGCATCCCTCATTAATCCGTCACGGCTTCCCGGGAAGCGCGGCACAGCCGCGGATTCGGGATTAGCTGCTATTTTTAAAGTGCTGGAGAACTTTTCCGGGTGCCAAGCGTCCCCTCCCCGCTCCCGCCAGCATTCCTGGGGGATGAGAGTGCCCAGCCCAGCCTTTGGAGCTTTCCCTTTTCCAGAACCTTCCCTCAGGTGGGCTTGGGAAGCGCCGGAGGCCGGAGAGGATCCGGAGCGGGATCCCAGCCCGGAGCAGCCGGGAGCTGGCGGAGTTTAGGGATTCTGCTGCTTCCTCAGCTCTTCCCTTGTTACTTTGAGGGGAAAAATTCCATTGTGGTCCATGAGCCTTCCTGGCCCCTTCCATGGAGGAGGAAGGGCAGCTCCAGCCCCTCATTCCCATTCCCGGTGCGGCGCTGGGGGATGCTCCTTGCTGGAGAAATTTGGGATCAGTGCTGGGTCAGGATCAGAGCCAGGGTTGGGATCAGAGCCGTGCCAGAGCCCAGCCAGTGCTGGAAGGAGAATCCTGGGGTGATCCCAGGTCTTGGGGGTGCCTGACGGTTCCAAATCATGAACAAAGATCCCGGGATTTCCTGCTCCCCATCCCACATTCTGCCGTGTTTCCCAGAATTCCCCTTTTCCAGAAATCCCCCTTTCCGTCCCCATTTTTGGGGACAGAGGATGCGTGTGCCGTGAAGGGCAGGGACAGGGTTGGGAAGCTCCTGCTGGATTCCCTGGAAATGGCTTCCCTTGGAGGCAGCACTCCCTGGGAATGGGGACTGGGATGAATGGGATGGGATGGGGATATAACAGGGCCGGGGATGAGGAGGGGATGAGGATGAGGATGGGGATGGCGATGAGGATGAGGATGGGGATGGGGAAAGGCCTGGTGGCACAGGGCCATTGTCCCTCAGGGTGGGCTCTGGGCACTCCCAGCTGCTCCAGGCAGGATCTGTGTCCTTGTGTCCCTGGGTGTTGGTGACACTGACGTGGCCTTGGGGATGTGGCACCTCCTCACTCGTGGCTCCAGCATGGAGCTGTATTCCCAGCACTTCATTCATTATGCAGATTATGTAAATGATCATTAATAATGCAGGACTTCCCTCTGCTCTGAGCCAGGGCAGGGGGATCCCGGGGGCAGGGGAGCGGCTGTGACAGAGGGGTCTGGGTGGGGGCCTGCACGTGTCCCTGTGTCCCCATCCCTGTTTGTCCCCGTGTCCCTATCCCTGTTTGTCCCTGTGTCCCCATCCCTGATTGTCCCCGTGTCCCTATCCCTGTTTTCCCTGTGTCCCCATCCCTGTTTGTCTCCGTGTCCCTATCCCTGTTTTCCCTGTGTCCCCATCCCTGTTTGTCCCCGTGTCCCTATCTCTGTTTTCCCTGTGTCCCCATCCCTGCTGGTCCCAGCCTGTCCCCCAGCCGTGCCAACCCTAGACCATCCCGGAGCTCCCCACATCTCCCTTGTTTCCAGTGTCCCCTCCCCTCCCAGCCCTTCCCAGGTTGCCATTCCAAGGGTGCCATTCACGGGTGCCATTCCCAGGGTGCCATTCCCAGGGTGCCATTCCCAGGGTGCCATTCCCAGGGTGCCATTCCCAGGGTGCCATTCCCAGGGTGCCATTCCCAGGGTGCCATTCCCAGGGTGCCATTCCCAGGGTGCCATTCCCAGGGTGCCATTCCCAGGGTGCCATTCCCAGGGTGCCATTCCCAGGGTGCCATTCCCAGGGTGCCATTCCCAGGGTGCCATTCCCAGGGTGCCATTCCCAGGGTGCCATTCCCAGGGTGCCATTCCCAGGGTGCCATTCCCAGGGTGCCATTCCCAGGGTGCCATTCCCAGGGTGCCATTCCCAGGGTGCCATTCCCAGGGTGCCATTCCCAGGGTGCCATTCCCAGGGTGCCATTCCCAGGGTGCCATTCCCAGGGTGCCATTCCCAGGGTGCCATTCCCAGGGTGCCATTCCCAGGGTGCCATTCCCAGGGTGCCATTCCCAGGGTGCCATTCCCAGGGTGCCATTCCCAGGGTGCCATTCCCAGGGTGCCATTCCCAGGGTGCCATTCCCAGGGTGCCATTCCCAGGGTGCCATTCCCAGGGTGCCATTCCCAGGGTGCCATTCCCAGGGTGCCATTCCCAGGGTGCCATTCCCAGGGTGCCATTCCCAGGGTGCCATTCCCAGGGTGCCATTCCCAGGGTGCCATTCCCAGGGTGCCATTCCCAGGGTGCCATTCCCAGGGTGCCATTCCCAGGGTGCCATTCCCAGGGTGCCATTCCCAGGGTGCCATTCCCAGGGTGCCATTCCCAGGGTGCCATTCCCAGGGTGCCATTCCCAGGGTGCCATTCCCAGGGTGCCATTCCCAGGGTGCCATTCCCAGGGTGCCATTCCCAGGGTGCCATTCCCAGGGTGCCATTCCCAGGGTGCCATTCCCAGGGTGCCATTCCCAGGGTGCCATTCCCAGGGTGCCATTCCCAGGGTGCCATTCCCAGGGTGCCATTCCCAGGGTGCCATTCCCAGGGTGCCATTCCCAGGGTGCCATTCCCAGGGTGCCATTCCCAGGGTGCCATTCCCAGGGTGCCATTCCCAGGGTGCCATTCCCAGGGTGCCATTCCCAGGGTGCCATTCCCAGGGTGCCATTCCCAGGGTGCCATTCCCAGGGTGCCATTCCCAGGGTGCCATTCCCAGGGTGCCATTCCCAGGGTGCCATTCCCAGGGTGCCATTCCCAGGGTGCCATTCCCAGGGTGCCATTCCCAGGGTGCCATTCCCAGGGTGCCATTCCCAGGGTGCCATTCCCAGGGTGCCATTCCCAGGGTGCCATTCCCAGGGTGCCATTCCCAGGGTGCCATTCCCAGGGTGCCATTCCCAGGGTGCCATTCCCAGGGTGCCATTCCCAGGGTGCCATTCCCAGGGTGCCATTCCCAGGGTGCCATTCCCAGGGTGCCATTCCCAGGGTGCCATTCCCAGGGTGCCATTCCCAGGGTGCCATTCCCAGGGTGCCATTCCCAGGGTGCCATTCCCAGGGTGCCATTCCCAGGGTGCCATTCCCAGGGTGCCATTCCCAGGGTGCCATTCCCAGGGTGCCATTCCCAGGGTGCCATTCCCAGGGTGCCATTCCCAGGGTGCCATTCCCAGGGTGCCATTCCCAGGGTGCCATTCCCAGGGTGCCATTCCCAGGGTGCCATTCCCAGGGTGCCATTCCCAGGGTGCCATTCCCAGGTGCCATTCCCAGGTGCCATTGCCAGGGTGCCATTCCCATAGTGCCATTCCCAGGTGCCATTCCCAGGTGCCATTCCCATGGTGCCATTCCCAGGGTGCCATTCCCAGGTGCCTTTCCCAGGGTGCCATTGCCAGGTGCCGTTCCCAGGTGCCATTGCCAGGTTGCCATTCCCAGGTGCCATTCCCAGGTGCCCTGACCCTGCCCGGTTTTCCCGCAGGGATCGAGTGCCCGCGGGGAGCCCGGAACGTGCCGGGGCTGGCGCAGGAGGGGGAGCCCTTCAGCGAGGAGGCCGCGCTCTTCACCAAGGAGCTCGTGCTGCAGAGGGAGGTACGGCCGGAGCCGGGCGTCGGGGGGATCCGGGGGGATCCAGGATCCGGGGGGATCCGGGGGGATCTGTGGGCAGCAGCTGTGAGGGACCAGAGGGTGAGCTGTACCCAGAGATCCTGGGGATACCAGGAGTATCCTGTGGGATATGGAGAGATCCCAGGTGGTTCTGAGAGATCCAAGGTGTCACCAGCAGATCCCAGGTGGTGCTGAGAGATCCCAGGAGATCCCAGGGGGCACTGAGAGTGCCCTGGGCAGGTGCAGGATGGATGTGGGGTTGGATTCTGGATGGATCCCCCTGTTTGAACCTGTTCCCGTTAGCGTCTCCGAATATTAAAATTCCCTGGAACTCCTGTGATTTCCCTGATTGCAGCTCCGGAGCTCGGGGCCCATTTTGGGTAATTTTTGTGTGATTCACAATTCCGAGGTGGATACCGGATCCTTCCCCCCCCCGCCGACTGTCATGGTCCTGCTGAGCCAAAATTCAGGGACTGATGCTCCCATCCAGATGTTGGCACTGGTGTGGATGTGGGCATGGATAGAGATGGGAATTATGGATCCAGATGGGATTTATGGATCCAGATGTGGCCGTGGCTGCAGACACGGTTGATGCAGATGTGGACACAGCTGCAGTTTTGGGCATGGATCCAGATGTGGGCAGGGATGCAGATGCTGACAGGGATGCAGCTGTGGGCGGGGATCCAGATGTGGTTTGTGGATGCAGATGTGGCTGCAGGTCCAGGTGTGGGCAGGGTGGCAGCTGTGGCCCTGGATCCAGGTGTTGCCATGGGTGCAGATGTGGCTGTAGACCCAGGTGCAGGGGTGGATCCAGATGTGGGCGTGGATCCAGATGTGGCAGCGGCTGTGGGGACACGGGAATGCAGGGACACGGGGATGTGGGGCATGGGGGTGCAGGGACACAGGGACATGGGAATAGGGGGAAACAGGGGTGTGGGAATGCAGGGACACAGGGGCACAGGGATGCAGGGACATGGGAATACAGGGACCTGAGGATATGGAAACACAGGGACAGGAGGACAGAGGGGTGTAGGGATACAGAAATGAGGAGAAACAAGGACAAAGGAGGACAGGGACAGGAGGACACAGGGACACATCCCTACAGGGGTGTAGGGATGCAGGAACGTGGAGAAACAGGGACACGAGGACACAGGGATGCAGGGGTGCAGGGATACAGGAACATGGAGAAACAGGGACACGGGAGCACAGGGACACGGGGACACTGCAGTCGTCCCCCTCCCTGCTCAGCATCTCGCGCTGCCGGGAATTGCTGACCCGCATCCCAAGGGCTTCGCTCCGCTGCCTCGGCACATTCCGGAGGCTCCGCGCTGCACCTGCCCAGGAACGCCGTGGCAGGGAGGCCAGATGGAGCCCGAGCTGCTTCCCAGGAATGCTGTGGCAGGGAGGACACGTGGGAGCCAGGACGCTTCCCGGGAATGTCGTGGGGAGGCCGTGGGAAGATGGGCTGCTGCCCAGGAACGTGGAGCTGGGGGTGCAGGGCAGGAATCGGGGATGCAGGGAAGGAGTTGGGGATGCGGGGCAGGAATTGGGGATGCAGGGCAGGAATTGGGGATGTAGGGAAGGAGATGGGGATGCAGGGCAGGAGTCAGGGATGCAAGGCAGAGTTGGGGATGCAGGGCAGGAGTTGGGGATGCAGGGAAGGAGATGGGGATGCAGGGTAGGAATTGGGGATGCAGGGCAGGAGTCGGGGATGCAGGGCAGGAATTGGGGATGCAGGGCAGGAGTCAGGGATGCAGGGCAGGAGTTGGGGATGCAGGGCAGGAGTCGGGGATGCAGGGCAGGAGTCGGGGATGCAGGGCAGGAGTCAGGGATGCGGGGCAGGAGTCAGGGATGCGGGGCAGGAATGCCGTGGCAGGGAGGCCGTGGGAAGCCGGGATGCCGCCCAGGCCAATTCCTGGCTCCGGCTGCGGGTCCCCGCGCGGGTCCCCACGGTTCCCACGGTGGCCCCGGCCGCGTTCCCGCCGGCAGCCGAGTCCCTGCCCACCCCCACAGCCGTGGGATATTTTTATCCGGCGGCTCCGGCTGCTGCTGACTCACGGGCCCGGAGCCGCCGCTGACGAACCGGCCCCGCAGCGTGGGGAGCAGGGGGTGCTGGATGCTCCGGCGGGATCGCGGCTCCCGGAGCGCCCGGGAAGGGCCCAGGGGACCCCCGGGTGCCCCTCGGCTCCTCCGAGGCTGTGCTGATCCAGCAGGAGCTGCTGATCCTCCGGGAACGCCGGGAAACTGCCCCGGCCCCCCCACATGCTCCAGTGCTTTTTGTCCGCTGGAGCTGTGAATTCCCAGTGGGTCAGCCCTGCCCTGATCCCAGCACTGATCCCAATCCTAATCCCAGCCTGATCCCAGCACTGATCCCAGCCCCAATCCCAGCCTGATCCCAGCCTTGATCCCAATCCTAATCCCAGCCTGATCCCAGCACTGATCCCAGCATTGATCCCAATCCTAATCCCAGCCTGATCCCAGCACTGATCCCAACCCTGATCCCAGTGCTGATCCCAATCCTGATCCTAGCCTGATCCCAGCTCCAATCCCAGCACCAATCCCAACCCTGATCCCAGGGTCAATCCCAACACTGGTCCCGATCCCAGGGCTGATCCCAGCCCTGTGCTTGGAGCACTCACTGTGTCCCATTGCACTGTCCCACATCCCACCCCATCCCAGCTCCCTCCAGAGCCACCGATGCCGGGGGAGGCACGAGCAGAACTCCAAATCCCTCTGCCGTGGGGACTTCCCTGACATTCCCTAAAAATCCCTGGATTTGTCAGTATTTGCCTTTCCCCACATCCCAGGCCCTGATTCCCACCCTGCTCTGAAGGAATCATTCCAGGGAAAGACCTGGGGGGATTGTCCTTAGCAAGATGGATAGGATGGTATTCCTGGGAGTGGGAGCTGGGGGGGTCCAGAACCAGAGGGGTTTGGGGATGGGATGGGATGGGGATGAGGATGAGGAGGAGGATAAGGATACGGATGGGATGAGGATGAGGATGGGATAATGATCATGATGATGATGATGGACTCAGCTGCTCTGAGCTTGGGCTAAAATCAGCGCTAATAAAATCCATAAATCCCTCCAGCCCCCTTCAGCATTCCCAGGATTTTTGGGATCACTCCTGTCTGTCCCCTGCACAGGGAGGAGGGGGAGTTCATCCCCCAGGATGAGCAGGAGGTGTTGGCATTCCCAGATTGGCCTGGGTGGGAAAATTCAGGAATAAAGGGAAAAGCAGGAATATGGTTTTGGGAAAAACTGACCCGGATCCGCCAAAAACAGCAAAAATCCTAAAAATCCCCCAAATCCCAACACTGAACCCTGACAGCTCCGTGGTGACTGGGGGAGGGGCTCAGCCCCCCGGGGGTGGTGGCACTGCCCCTGGCACTGGGGTGGAGGTGGCACCTTGGGGACATTCCAGGGTCCCTGTGTCCCCACTGCCACAGGGACACTCTGTGTCCTTGTCCCTGTGTCCCTTGTCCCCACCACCAGCGCCCAGCACACCCCGTGTCCTGAGGGTGGCACCTGGTGTCCAGGCTGGATGTCCCACTGTCCCCACACAGCTGAGGCTCCTGGTGTCCCCGTTCCACAGAATGGGGGATCCCGCTGTCCCCTCAGAGGGGGGGTCCCGCTGTCCCCCTGTCCCTCCCGGGCAGGGGCAACGCCCCTGATTGATCCCTATCCCTCCTCCCTCCCTCCAATCCCAATTCCAGCTGGGAACCCCCAGGCTGGGGGGTGACCCCCAACCCCCCCAAGCCCCATTCCGGGGTCCCACAGTGCCCCCCCCACTGCTGTCACCCCCTGATTCCCATCACTCTCCCCAGTGTCACCCCGTAATTGTCCCCCCATGTCACCCTCCGTGTCCCCCCCAATTCTCATCACCCCAATGTCACCCCCTAATTCTTGTCCCCCCAACGTCACCCCCTAATTCTTGTCCCCCCCCCAGTTCTTGTCACCCGCAGTTCTCCTCGCCCCCTCCCCTCCTCCATCCTCTCCCTCCATCTCCCTTTCCCGCTCCGCGATTTTTCCAAAGCTTTTCCTGCTGAGAGGACAAAAAACCCCTTTCAGGCAGGCGGGGAGGGGGGGCCCCCCGCGGCCCCCCCCGAGCGCCCCCGTTTAACCCCTCGGGCACTCAGCGTTACAAATTTGGAACAATATTTATTAAAATACAAAAATACACTTGTTTTTTTTTTTTTTTTTTGTTGGATTCGCGGTACAGTCGGATCCTTCCGGCGTTTACAGCCCGAGAGGGAACTCCTGCATCTCCTTCCCGCCTTCCACCCCCCCCCGGACACCCCCAGACCCTACATTTTAGCTCAGCTTTATCCCCCCCTGCAAGAACATTTTAAAGCTAAAACGAGAAATTAAAGTAATTCCAGTGCCCGAGCAACCAGGGAGGGCCCCCCCCCCTCTCTGCTGCTTATCTCCGCTCCAACCCCCTGCAATTACACAGAAATTACATTCCTTGTCACCTCCCCCCCTCCCCAAGCCCTTAATTTCTCCCAGCCCCCCCCGTTCCGTGAGCAGCCCTTGGGGGGGGGGTCCCCATCGTCACCCCCTCCCGGGGACGGGGGGGTGTTCCCCACACCTCCCCCCCCCATTCAAATAAAAGGACTAAAAATGCCGTTTTTAGTGAAGGTGGTTACAATCATTGGTCAGGTCTCCCGTGGGGGCCCCCCCAGCCCCCCAGGAGCCGTAGCCCTGTGCCGGGGGATCCGGGGGGCCCGGGGGGGTGACAAACACCGTGGGAAAGGGGGTGCAGAGCAAAGCGGGGGGCACCTTTATTGCATTGGGAAGGTCTTGGCGCGGGGCCGAGATCCCGCTCCGGTGACGCCGGAGCTGCCGGCGCGCGGCCAAGGGCAGCGCCGCGGGGTGGGGGGGGCCGACCTCACCCCCTCCCCCAAATAACCCCCAAGAACACCCCGAGCCCCCCCAAACCCCACCCCGACAGCTCCTGCCACCGCTCCGGCGTCCCCCGCGTCCCCCCGCGCCACGGCACCGCCGCTCGTCCCCGAGCACGGGGATTTTTCCTCTTATTACCGATTTTTTTTTTTTTTTCCTCTGTTTCTCCTGGTTTGTTTCTTTTTGTGTTTAAATAGAACCTGCGAGTTAGAAAATAGTGGTTTTTTTTTGTAGGAGTTTTGGGTGGGTTTCGTTAAATTTTAATAGAATCTGCTGCTCTTCTCGGCCCCGAGGTTGGCTATAGAAGCATGTACACGAAAAAGAGTCTCTCCCCCCCCCTGTACAAAAGTTGTGTCTATTATTGAGGAATTATCCTGGTTTTCCTTAGTATTGAGGAATTCTCCTGGGTTTCCTTCTTTTTGGAGTTCTGCTTTTGTGCATTTATTGCGTTTATAATAATTCGGGGCCGGGGTTGGAGTGGGGGGGGGACAGGTTCTCACTCTGTCCGTTGGGGGGGGGGGGGACGACGACCCAAAAAAAAGCAGGAAAAAGCCCCCAAAAAAGAGTCATATCTGGGTTTCCTGAACTTTCTCCTTGGGGTGGGTCTGGATTAAATAGGGGTCGGCCAGGGTGGTCCCGGGGGGGTGCAGGGAGTTGCCCAGCGCGTTCTCTGTCCAGTGGGCGCCGTGTCCGGCCTTGTAGGTGTTGTAGTTGAGGTGCTCGTGGATGTTGGGCAGCACCACGGCCCCCTCCCCGGCCGGGGCGGCCGCGGGCGTGGCCGCGGTGGCCGGCGCGATGTCCTCGTCCACCTGGATGATCTCCACGGTGCGGGCGGCGGTGACGGTGCTGCGCTGCTGGTGGCGCTTGCGGAGCTTGTAGAAGACGATGAGCATGGCGGCGGCCAGCAGCGTCACGGCCACGAAGCAGCCGATGATGATCTTGGTGGTCTTCATCACCTCGTCCAGGCTGGTCTGCAGCTTGTCGCCGGCGTCGGCCGTGGGCACGGCCACCTGCTTGGGCGGGCGCGTGGTCTGCACCAGCACGGTGGTGGTGGTGGTGTAGGCCGGCTGGTAGCCCGTCGAGGTGGTGGGCACGGGCTTGGTGAACTTGGGGGACACGTCCTCGGGGGAGATCTCGGTGGTCTCCACCGTGACGGTGGTGAAGAAGCTGTAGTTGGAGGTGTTGAGCTCGGCCGTGCTGACGTTGAGGAAGGCCGAGGCGTTGGAGTTGCCGGCCACGTTGGTCACCATGCAGGTGTAGAGGCCGGTGTCGGTCAGCAGCACGTGCGAGAAGTTGAGGGTGCCGTCGTTGAGCACGGAGAGGCGCGGGTGGCTCGAGGCGTGGCTCAGCACCGTCCCGTTGGGCAGCAGCCACCGCACCGAGGACATGGAGGGCGTCCGGCAGCGCAGCTCGGCCACGCGCCCCTCCGAGATGTTGAGGTCCGCGGGCGCGTCCATGATGAAGGGCGCCGAGCACTGGAAGGAGGTCTGGTCCACCTCCACCAGGAAGCGGCCCCGCATGTGCAGCGGGGCGTGGCAGCGGCCGCAGCAGGTGGAGTTGGTGGGGATGTACTCCCGCAGCCACCACGACAGCCAGAGGATGTCGCAGTCGCAGTCCCAGGGGTTGTGGTGCAGGTGCAGCTCCACCAGGTAGCGCAGCGGGGCGAACAGGTCGTGGGGCAGGGACGACAGGTTGTTGTGGGCCAGGTTGAGCTCCACCAGCGCCGTCAGGTCGTCGAAGGCGTTGCGCTCGATCAGGTTGATCTGCGAGTTCATAATCCAGAGCTTTTTGAGGGATTTGAGCCCGTGGAAGGAGCCCGGTTTGATCTCGGGGAAGTTGTTGCCCGACATCTCCAGCTCCTCCAGGCCCACCAAGGGCGTCAGGTTGGGCATGTCCTTAATGTTGCACATCCCCAGGTTGAGGTACTTGAGGTTGTACAAGCCCTCGAAGGCGCCCTCGGAGATGTACTCGAGCTTCTTGAGCTCGCCCAGGTCGAGGCGCATGAGGGAGGGCACGCGGTTGAAGGCGTAGCTGGGGATGCTCTCGATGGGGTTGTTGCGCAGCCACAGCTCCCGCAGCTTGGACAGGTACTCGAAGGCCCCGCTGGGGATCACCGTCAGCCAGTTGTCGAAGAGCTCCAGGGTGTTGAGGCTGGCCAGGCCGTTGAAGGCGCCCACCTCGATCTGCCGGATGGCGTTCCTGCCCAGCTGCAGCACCTCCAGGTGGTGCAGGTGGCGGAAGGTGTCCGCCTGGATCATCTGGATGTTGTTCTCCATGAGGTTGAGATAGCGGGTGTTGGAGGGGATGCCGGGGGGCACCTCGGCCAGGCCGCGGCGGGTGCACACCACCTTGCTGAACTGGTTACTGCAGGAGCACGCGGAGGGGCAGCTCTGGGGGCCCGGCGAGGCGGCGGCCGTGGCCAGGAGCCACGCGTGCAGGGTCAGGGAGGCGGCCAGGAGCCCCGGCCAGGTGCGGTGGCGGCGGCGGAGGTGGTGCACAGTTACCTGCCACAAGAGCTTCATGGTGTGGCACGTTCATCATTCACCATCGTCTGGGGATGGCGGCGAGAAGAGCAGAACGGGCTCGGGGCCCCCCCCTCTCCCGGCTCCCACGAGCTGGGGGGCCCGGCTGGCCGCAGGCCGCGGGGAAAGGGGTGGGGGGGAACGCGGGGAAAGTGGTGAAAAAGGAAATAATTAAAAAAAAGAAGCGGGGATAAAAGGAAGAATTGGGAAAAGGGGAGGGAGCGGAGGAGAGAAAAAGTGAAAAAAAAAAAAATGAAAGACGGGGAGGGAAATGGGAATGGGGGGAAAAAAAAAAAAAAAAATTTGGCCAGGAAAGGGAATTGGAAAAGGAGGTAAAAACGGAATAAAAATCTAAAATCAAATCAAATCAAGATAAGAACGGAAATGAGGATAAAAGTTAAAATAAGGCTAAAATCGGATGAAAAACTAAAAATAAAAATTCAAAATATTAAAAAAAAAAAAACGAAAAAAACCCCAAACAACCCGGACGAAACCTAAAAATAAAACAGGAAAATAAAGATTAAAAATAGGCCGAAATAAATAAATAAATCGCGGGGAGCCCCCCCCGGGAGAGGGAAAAACGCGGTTCGGGGAGGGAGCGGGGGGGAGGAAAGGGCGTCGGCGTGGGGGAGATGCCGGCGGGGGCACCTCCCGGTAGCGGCGGCGGCTGCGCTGGTGGCGGGGCGGGGGGGTCCCGTCCCGTCCCCTCCCGCGTGTCGTTCCCGCGTCCCCGCGTGGGTGTCGCGTTCAGCGGCGGCGCGGGGCGATGGTGGCGGTGACAGCGGCGGTGACAGCGGTGGCGGTCGCGGTGCCGGCGGGCATCCTCCGGTGGCGGGGGCCGCGCGGGGCGGTGCGGGCGGTGCGGGCGGTGCGGTGCGGGGCGGTGCGGGCGGTGCGGGAAGCAGCCGCGCAGGCGGCTGGCTCATCCTTTTGTCCTTCAGTGCGAGCGCGGATGGATTGCCGCTGCCGCCGCTCCCGCTGCTCCTGCTGACGCATCCCGGCGGGCCCCCGCCGGCCCCGCTTCGGCCGGTGCGGCGGCCCCGGAGCGGTTTTGTGCGCGGGGAGGGGGATGCGGGATGCGCCGCTTCCTCCTCCTCTTCCTCCTCGGGCGGATGGACGGACGGACAGAGGGACGGACGGACGGAGGGAGGGAGGGACGGAAGGGACGGGGACAGCGCGGGGCTCGGCGGCTTCGAGGTGACAGGGAGTGGGGGGGACCCCGGCTCCAGCCCCCCGCGAGCCCCCCGGCCCTGGGGCTGAGGCCCGACACACGCTGTGACACTGATGGGGAGCAGCGACCCCGCAGGGGTGGAGGGGGACACGGGGTGACTGCCAGGGGCAGGAGACAGGGACCACGAGACCCGGAGGTGCTGCTGCTGCTCCTTGGGGCCCGGGCTCTGCACCCCCAGCAGTGCCTTGTCCCCTCCTCCCCGTGGGACTGGGATGCACGACACCACCTGCAGCCCCTCTAGGCACTCTGTGGCCCCCCCCGCTCTTGGTGGCACTGGTGGCACTTGGAGCTGTCACCCGAGTGCCACCAGTGGGTGCTGGGGACCTCGGTGGGGCTGGTGGCCCCTCTGGGACACGCTGTCTGGCAGTGCCCCGGGACCCTCCTGTCCTTCCTCACTGGGGTCACTGTCCCCGTGGTGGTGGCACGTCCCCAGGGGGCTGCAGCTGTTCCAGTGACGTCCCCCCACAGGAGCTGCAGGACCTGGTGGCCTCCTGTGCCCCACGGGTGGGTCCCACATGCTCTCTGCTCACTGCAGTGGCCACATCTTGTCCCTGAGTCCATCGCTGTCCTGCGAGTCCCCTGGCCAGTGACCCAGTGGTGTCACTACTGGGGGGACAGGGACACTGTTGTCACCCAGAGTGTCACCCTGCAGCGCTGGGGAGGTGCCACGGCCGTGCACCGCCAGGGGCCAGCCTGGCACTGGCATGCCTGGGGACAGCGGGTGGCCTGGGGCCGTGTCCCTGCCACACACCGGCCTTGGCAAGTGCGGTGCCGTGGATGGTGACATGGCCGGTTTTGGTGACACCGTTGTGTCTGCCACAGTGCCACCACCCACACGGGTGCCCAATGGCCAGTGGGGTGCCGTGGCCAGTGAGTTGCTGTGTCTGGCACGATGCCATGGCCAGTTTTGGTACCGTGGCCAGTTTCAGTGCCGTGGCCGGTGTGGTGCACTGTCCAGCGTGGTGCTGTGGCCAGTTTTGGTGCCATGGCCAGAGCAGTGCACTGTCCAGCTGCCATGGCCAGTTTTGGTGCCATGGCCGGCCAGCGTGGTGCACTGTCCAGCATGGTGCCGTGGCTGGTTTTGGTGTTGTGGCCAGATTTGGTGCCGTGGCCAGAGCAGTGCACTGTCCAGCATGCTGCCATGGCCAGTTTTGGTGCCATGGCCAGAGCAGTGCAGTGTCCAGCGTGGTGCCATGGCCAGTTTTGGTGCCGTGGCCAGCGTGGTGCACTGTCCAGCATGGTGCCGTGGCCGGTTTTGGTGTTGTGGCCAGTTTTGGTGTCATGGCCAGAGCAGTGCAATGTCCAGCGTGGTGCCGTGGCCGGTTTCGGTGCCGTGGCCGGTTTCGGTGCCATGGCCGGTTTTGGTGCCATGGCCAGCGTGGTGCAGGGGCCGTGGGACACCTCCAGGCTTTGGGGGGCAGTGGGAGCAGTTGTGGTGGGATGGGTGAGCTCAGGGGCAGCACAGGCTCCGTGTGGCAGCGCTGGCAGAGCCAAACCCACTGACCACAGCCAGGGGTTGAACCATCGTGGTGTGGCCCATGTGTCACCCTGGGCCCAAAGCTTGCTGTCCCCAGTGCCTTGGCCACACACCTGGCACTGTCCTGTGCCATGTGCTGTCCCCAGGGCCACACTGGCCACAAGTCCAACCCATCCCGGGGTGGGGTGTGATTCCCAGGGTGGGATACCCAGGTGGAACAGGATACAGCGTGTGGCAGGACCTGGTGGCTTTGTGTTCCCCCATGTCCTTTGTCCCGCACCTCAGGGGGACACTTTGGGCTGGCACCTTGGGGGTCCCTGGGCCCAGGCTGGGTGCAGGGAGGTGATTGTGGGGGCCCCACCTGGGCGAGCTCAGAGTGCCGGGAGGAGGTGACAGCTGGGGCAGGCTGTGGTGGGGACAGGGACCCACAGCTCACGAGATTCCCGGGATCCCACAGGTTGAGGTGGAGGTGGAGAGCATGGACAAGGCCGGGAATTTCATCGGGTGGCTGCACATCGAGGGCGTGAACCTGTCGGTGGCGCTGGTGGAGCAGGCGCTGTCCCGCGTGCACTTCACGGCCGAGCGCAGCCCCTACTGCAAGGCCCTGCTGGCCGCCCAGGACGCGGCCAAGCAGAGGAAGGAGAAGGTGAGGGGGGTCAGGGGACCCTCCCCAGCAGTGTCACCACCCCAGGGACACGGCCCCGTCCCAAAAGATTGGCCCCAGCACAGCGGATGTCCCCACCCTGAGAGATGTGCCCAGCAAAGGAGGTGGCCTCAGTCCAGGAGGTGTCTCCATGCTGAGAGACCTTCCCACTCTGAGGGGTGTCCCCATGCCAAGGGATGTCCCCATCCCAAGAAATGTCCCTGTGCAAAGGGATGTCCCCACCCCAAAAGCTGACGGCCCCACTGCAGGGAGTGTCACAACCCCAATTAATGTTCCCAGCCACTGGGTGCCCACACGCCGAGAGGTGATCCCACCACCATGGATGTCCCCATCCCAAGAGATGTTCCACCTCAAGGAATGTTCCAACTCCTGGAGATAGATGTCCCCACCCCAAGAGATGACGGTCACAGGCCAAGAGATGTCCAACCCCAAAGATGTCCCACCCCAGGGATGTCCAACCCCAGGGATGTCCAACCCCAGAGATGTCCAACCCCAAAGATGTCCAACCCCAAAGATGTCCCACCCCAGGGATGTCCAACCCCAGGGATGTCCAACCCCAAAGATGTCCAACCCCAGAGATGTCCCACCCCAGGGATGTCCCACCCCAGAGATGTCCCACCCCAGGGATGTCCCACCCCAGGGATGTCCAACCCACAATCCCCCAAGCTGAGGCCTGGGCATGTTCCCACTGCCGGGTGCAGCCCCCACCCTGCCATTGCTGTCACCTGGAGCGTGGCCGGGTCCCCGTGTCCCCCCAGGTGTGGTCCCACTACGAGGAGACGCCGGTGGAGGAGGTGGTGCCGGTGCTGGAGGAGAAGGAGCGCACGGCCAACTACAAACCCGTGTTCGTCACCGAGATCACCGACGACCTCCACTTCTACGTGCAGGACGTGGAGACAGGTACGGGGGGGACACCTGGGCACCCCCAGCACCCAGGGGTGCTCCCCAGAGCGGGCGTGGTGGGGCGAGTTGGATGGGATGAGGATCTGTGGGTTTGGTGGGTAACGCCCAAATGTGTGTGTCCAGGGAGATGTGGGGTCACCCCTCCACCCCCCAGGGCCATTTTTGGGACCAGGGCAGGGTCCATGATTGGGATCCAGGTCTGGGGTCCACAGGTTTAGGTCTTGGGGCAGGGTCTGGGGTTGAGATGCAGGTTCAGGATCACTGTTGAAGTCACTGTCGGGACTTGGGGTTCTGTGGGCACACTGAGGGTGTTGGGGTCAGGGGGGTTGGGGTCAGCGGGGTTGGGGTCAGGTTTGGGATGGGGCTGGGGGTGTATCCTGCATCGGGGCCCCGCAGGAGCCCAGCTGGAGAAGCTGATGGAGAACATGCGCGCCGAGGTGGGCGCCCACCCGCCCGTGGAGGGCTCCTTCGTCCCGCGCCGCGGCGACTTCTGCATCGCCAAGTTTGTCGACGGGGAATGGTGAGGAGGGGACGGCGTGACCCCATGGGCTGGGCCAGGGCAGCCGTGGGGTGTGGGGTGAGGACCAAATCCCCAAAATCCCACCCTGCAGGTACCGTGCCCGGGTGGAGAAGGTGGAGTCGGGTGGCAAAGTGCACATTTTCTACATTGACTACGGCAACGTGAGTGGCACCGGGGAAACTGGGGGGAGAGCAGCCCTCCATCCATGGATCCATCCATCCATGGATCCATCCATGGATCCATCCATCCGTGGATCCATGCATCCCTCATCCATCCATCCCTCCATCATCCATCCATCCATCCCTCCATCCATCCATGGATCCATGGATCCATCCATCCCTCATCCATCCATCATCCATTCATCCACCATCCATCCATCCATCCATCCATCCATCCATCCCCTTGGTGTCCCTGGTGTCCTCCGCGCTGTCTCGCCCTCGCTGATGTCCCCGTGGTGTCCCCACCCGGTGTCCCCGCAGAAGGAGACGCTGCCCCCCAGCCGCCTGGCCCCGCTGCCGCCGGCGTTCTCTCCGCGGGTGCTGCCGCCCCAGGCCACCGAGTACACCTTTGCCTTCATCCAGGTGCCGCAGGACGTGAGTACGGGGGGGCTCCCGCTGTGACCCCACACCTGGGCCCGGCCCTGGGCCCCCATTGTGGCCCCTGACCTCGAAGCTCCACCCCGTGTCCCACCGTGGCCCCCAGACCCACACCCTGAGCCCCAGGTCCCACCTGTGGACCCCAACCCCAAACCTGGTCCCAGTTGTGAACACTGAACCTGGGACCCCAATGTGTCTCCTGACCCCCAACACCAACCCCAGCTCCCCAGTGTGTGCCCTGACCCCAGTCCTGAGCTGCGATGCCAGGGTAACCCCAGCAACCCCCACACCCCAGTCCCAGGGTTACCCCAAACCCACAGTGGGTTGTGGGTGTCCCCAAAACACCCAGGAGCCCCTGGCGTCTGAGGGTCGGGGGGGATCCTTGGGGGTCTGGGCGCTCCCTGAAGGCCACAGGGGATCTCTGAGGGTTTGGGGGTCCCTGCCAGACGTGGGGGCTCCCTGAGGGCTTGGGGGGGTGCGGGCCGTGCCCCGGGGCCGCTGACGGGCGCGCGGCGCAGGAGGAGGCGCGCGCGGACGCCGTGGACAGCGTGGTGAGGGACATCCAGAACACGCAGTGCCTGCTCAACGTGGAGCACCTGGGCCCCGGCTGCCCCCACGTCACCCTGCAGTTCGCCGACTCCAAGAGCGACGTGGGGTTGGGGCTGGTCAAGGAGGGGCTGGTGATGGTGGAGCCCCGCAAGGAGAGGCAGTTCCAGAAAGTGGTGGGTGCCGGGGGGCACAGGGGGCTGGGGGGTGCTGGGTGGGTGCTCAGGGGGTGTTCGGAGGGGCTGGAGGCTCTTGGTGGCTGCTGGGATGTTGGGTGGGTTTTTGGGAGGCCTGAGGTGGGTGCTCGAGAGGTGTGGGGTGGGTTCTGGGGGTACTGGGGGTGTCAGGTGAGTTCTGGGGGTCCCTGTGCCCCCCTCACCACTGGTGCTGATCAGTCCTGGCCCAGCTGCTGCCCCATTGGGACCATGGGGGTCCCTCCACCCCCCGGTGCTGCCCACCCCCAGACCCCCGAGTTAATTATCGATCAGACCCTCGGGACCCTGTCCCCGGGGGTCACCCCAGCCCTGTCCCCCCGGGGTCACCCCAGCCCTGTTCCCCCGGGGGTCACCCCAGCCCTGTCCCCCGGGGTCAGCCCAGCCCTGTCCCCGCCATGTGGAGCCCCCAAATCTGGACCCCATCCTGGGACCCCACCCTGGGACCCCACCCTGGGTCCCTGCTGCAGGTCCCACCCTTGGGCCCTGACCCTGGGACCCAAAGTGGGACCCCAAACCCAATTGTGGACTCCCCACCCTGGGACCCCAGAACAGCCCCTGACCTTGGACATCTCCTGGAGCCAAGTGGAGCCCCCAAATCTGGACCCCACCCTGAGACCCCACCCTGGGTCCCTGCTGCAGGTCCCACCCTTGGGCCCTGACCCTGGGACGCAAAGTGGGACCCCAAACCCAATTGTGGACTCCCCACCCTGGGACCCCAGAACAGCCCCTGACCTTGGACCCCCACCTGGCTCCCAGATTTAGGTCCCAGAGTGGCTGCAGACCCTGAACCTCATCTCCAGGACCCACTGCGCCCCCCCCATCCCGTCCCAGCCCCCGGGGGGGGCAGCCCTGGGCGTGCTCTGGGGGGAGGGGCACCCTCGGCCCCCCGCCTTGGCCCCCCCCGGCCCCCCAAACCCTGGCCTGTATTTAAAGCTGCAGAGGCCCAATAAACGTAGTGAAGCGTCCTGCTTTTTTGGGGTCCCCTCTGTGCTGGGGTCAGCACCCCCCCATCCCCTCGGACCGGTGCTGGGACCCCGGGCACTCGTGGGTGGGGGGATCTCTCTCTGAGGATGCAGCCCTGGGACCCCCGGCCCTGTCCTGGCTCTGGGGGGCCTGGATGGGGGTGTGGGGGGGGCCCATC